AATGATTGTGATTTGTTTCGAAACAATTTTCTTGTTCATTCGCCACATCCATTTTCATGGGTTGTTTTGTTGAATTGAAATGTTTGACGACATTTCGGTTTAGGTAATGAGACCCTTCATTGTCAAGAATCCTGAGAACTTGAAATACGGGTAGTAAACTGCTTTTGTGGCTGATTCATGGTAACTATTTGCATACTGATGAGTCAACGTAAATTAACCAAATTATTGTGTTTCGTGCTGGCTTATTAGTAATTCTTACTTAGTTGGCCCAGTGTTATGGAGGTGAGTGATTCCTTAAGTACTGAAATAACTTCATGAGAACAAAACAGATAGAAATAGTTTGTGTTTTTCGTGAGCGTGCTAAATATTCGGTCATAATTGTCCCAAACATTGCGATGCTTCATTTTATATTTACGATATATTTTAGCATTACCATATTTATTCATTTATTTATGTTTTTTGTTGATATTCACTCGTTGATAGTTTAGTCGTCAGTTTGAATGAACGTAAATTGCCGTCAGGTAGAATCATTCGCGTTTTTTGGTTCTGTAGGCAAAATTTCATGATCAGTGTATCATGATATGTATGAAATGGGAGTGGGAAATCTTTACGGTAAACTGATATCGGAAGTATTAATGCAGAATCGAATGTTTGCATTAGGAGACGAGACATGCTAACAATGTAAAAGATAAGCAACAATAAACGTCTGGAGGATTGACTGATTTGATAAGGCGAAGGTGGCTGACAGTCTTTTAATCCTCCGAAAGGAAGCGCAAAGACTGAGTGAGGTAAGCGGGCGATTGAGTATGAGACTTATATTGTCGTTTAAGTGATGAAATATATGATAATAATGAATGAGGTCAAATGAAACGGTTTTTTGAATCATCACTGGTGCTCATATTCTCATATTGTCTAATCAGATGTTTACTGTCTTATCACAATTTCATCATTAAAATCGGGACTTTTGTGTTAAAGCGTCTTTACGGAGGATGAAGTAACGCTGTCGGTCCATTGTTATTATCGCATTGTTATGGAATATAATATAGCTGATCTATTGCCATCATTGCCTATCGCATTATTGTTTTGAACTGTTGGAGTTTTGATCATTGTGCGATCAACGAACGAAAAATTCATATTAATTGATGTCTTGATTGTTTCTCAACGTAGCGTTTAATCGCATACATTTTGGAATAAGCAATCGAACGCGATAAGCAAATTGGTTACACTCTGCTTTAGAAAATATGGTTTGTTAGTTGTTAAGGCAAATATATTTGGTATTTTGTTTTGTTTGCTCATTTGCTGCAAATGTCATATGAAGAAATGATACGTCAACACTTCAAATAAATATTGACATGGTTCTGTAAAATCATAAAAAGACACGAATTGCGATCGGAGACGAGAACGTTTTGAATTTTTTACTGAACTACACGAAACGTTTGTGATATGATGGGTTGAGCGGTATGATTTGTTGCAATATTGCAATTTCTCAGGCATAATTTAGTGGAGAAACTAACAACTGGGAAGGAAACAAGAGATTGATCTTATTGGGGTGACTGAATGGACTCACGTGGATTTCGTCCAAGGCATGAGTCGCTCATTGATTGTGAATCGCATCTGTATAGAGCCAAGATTCGAAATGTTCTGCACCAATCGCAGGCTACGTCCTGCCGGATCGTTCATCGAAGGGCATCCCTCCCGAACCACCTCGGCTCGAGCCTTACCTCCGGGTTGCGCAGTATGACAGGAAACCGGGTACGCGTTCAGTGCTACTGAATACTTCATTGAAACCATTTTGCAACGAGAATAACATGGAAAATTTATAATTTTAACTTAGTCTGGTGGAGATCTATTTCGAGATGTGGAGAGTTTCTCAGTAAAACATCGATAATTTCGAGATTGAAATGAAATTTAGTCGCTTCAAGATTTCATAGAACATTTTTCTGCTGTAAAGCACTTCATTGTCGCATACCTTATGCAATATGGAGATTCAGTAAGAAGCATATTGCCTCTTACACGTGCGTAGTTCACGGCGTTTGATCAGCTTCATTAGTAGGCAAGCGGAGGAGTGGGAAGCTGGAGTGAATCTCCGAAAAAACTCAAAAAAAAATCACCAGGATATGAAAAATGCGCATTCGCTTCCAGTCGGGCGTTCAATTGATCACCGATCCTAAGTGTTGCCTGCTGTAGATTCTGGATTTGTTTGTTCCCATTCCATAAAGACATCCGGAACGGTATAGATGCCTTCAATCAAGCTTACCTGTTGATGTTGTGGAGTTATTCTCATGGTATTGAGAGTAAAGCTGAACGAACATTGAAAAGTTGATACGAGATCATTCTCGGACGTAAAGGTTTTCAATGTGGTGATTGTATTCGAAAATTGGAGGATCAAGCATTCAACAGTTTGTCTCCAAATCTCTTTTATAGTTGTCCGTTCGCAAGGTTTGTTTGAGAGGAAAAATTCATCAGTCGTTTTATTTTTTTGTTTGCAGTAAATTTGTTCATCAAGAGATCAGTTTTAGAATTTGCGGTTAGTTATGCAGCCGAAGGATGGAACGAGCGCAACGGATCACGAAAAGCTTTAGTATCCTGCAAATCTTACCAAGTCGAGTTCCTTATTAGGCACGAAACACGTGATTGTAAAAGAGCGATTCACATGATTTGCTGACGTATAGTAGTCGATCTGAAATGACCACATTCGGTGATCAGTAACTGATGATTTTTGGCATAACAGTCTTTTAGCAACAAGAATTTCTTTTTGAGAATGTTCACATGTTTCAATGACTGATACTCTGAACAATAGAAAACGATACGGAAAACAGGGGATGCGTGCAAATAATATGAAACTGCAAATAATTATCTGTTTGGATAAAATGTCAGGCGTGGATAAGGATTCAGACCAAATCAGTGACAAGATTGAGCAGAAACGATTATTTGTTGATCTAATCGATAGATCAAGTAATCATTTATTATGTATCACAGTATTAATATTCTAAAATTTCAAATTTATGCAAGACTTTTTGAAAGGATCATGTCTTCGGTTGAAAACATCCATTAAATTCACAATCAGTTATCGAAATATCCAGTAACGACAAACCGTAATGGTATGCAGCGTTCCATCCTCTAAATCCAATGATACAATTCCACTACATCGCTGATAGTTGGCTTTAAGTACCAATTGTGTCATCGACTGTCGTCGGAATTCACTTCGACATATTTGTCGATTATTGTTTTGATTTGTGTTTCTATTGTCATTGTTACCATTATTACTGTCACCATTACCGTTGTTGTTATGATTACTATGATCAGTTGGTAGTGATCGCGATGAATGATGTGAGGACTGAAGGTAAGCACGAGAGATGCGTACAAAATCTAAGCCTATCGTTTGATACGGCTCATACAGTAGCTCGAAATGCTTTCGCTGACAGCTCAACTGCACTGTTCCATCTGAAAGTGAATTTGAAT